ACCGCTGCGATTGATCAATCATCAACTAAGGAGGAGGAGGAGGAGGAGGAGGAGGAGGAGGAGGGAGGGAGGGAGGGAGGGAGGGCGGAGGGATGAGGAGGAAGAGGAAGGAGGAGGAGAAGGAGGAGGAGAAGGAGGAGGAGGAGGAGGAGGAGACGTCCTCACAGTCTTCGTTGAAAGCAAAGGAGTCGCCGAAGTCAAACAAGCGCCTCGCTCGAGATGTCCCCACGACCCCTGGCCCCCAACGCGCGAGCGTCCTGCCCCCCCCTCTGCGGCTCCTCCTTGGGATGCCCAAACGCCACGCCTGCCAGATCGCGGCGTGGGCACCGGATAAGGAACCCTTAGATAAGGAAGCCAAGGTCTGGAAGCCAGCGGAACTCCAATCGTGAATCGGCCATGGGTATCACCGCCGCCCTCATCGGATAAGGAAGCCTCCAGGGTCTGGCGCCTCCCGGGACTATTCCTTGACCAACGCCTCCACCGCATATCGCAGTGGTCACGGGGCTATCAAAAGGAAAGAACTCGGAACCACCAAGCAGGCCAACCGCCTGAAACCTCACCGCCACCAGGGCGCGACTGGTCCCGTGTCATACCCCCTTGGCACCCTCTGCTCCGGGCGAACAGTGGACCCCCAAAAAAGAAAACAACATCCGATTCAATTCCAGAACGGGACGAACCAAGAGGGGCGAACCCGAACCAAAGCGAACCGCACGGTGAATGGACAGACGATGGACAGACCGAAACCCGGCGAACCGAAACACGACAAACTGCATCAAAATGAACCGAAACAAGTTTGGATCACGGGTCAAAGAAACCCATGTGAACACACATGTCTGTGGCTCACGGGCGAAAGGGGACCTGGTAAAAACATGGTTTGCGCTGACGGGCATAGGAAACTCACATAAAAGCACATGGTGACGGCTCTAGGGCGAAAAGAACCATGCTAAAACAAATGATAAGGGCTACAGGCACAAGAACCGATGTGAAAACACACGGCTTGAGCTCACTGGCGAAAGGAGGGCATGTAAAAATCAACTGGGTGTGGCCAACCTGCGAAAGGAACCCATATGAGAAAAACGAGAAAATGGCCTCAGCTCATGAGCGGCAGGGGCCCATGTAAAAACATATGGCTTGGGCTCATGGGGTGATCTGGGCGCGAAATGAAAAAAATAAACGCCCCTGGCAGTTCTTCCTTGGCGTGCCCAAATGACACGCCTGTGATATCGCGGCGAGCATTGGGCTTGTAAAATTATCCTGGCGGAGGGCCCAACCACATGTAGCTGCGAGCACATCAAAGCAAGTGATACGAAGGATGGGAACGAATCGTGTGAGAGGTGTGCCGACATGACGAGGTGGCGGGTTGTGGATGTTGCCGTTAGGGCCTCGGTTGAGCTTCCTAGGGGGCCACGAAACGCACGAGGGGTGCGCCGAATTGGCGCGGTGCCTCCATGCGGACTTTGCTACTGGGGCCTTCGGTAGAGCACCCTATGGGGCCGCGAAATGCGTAAGGGGTGCGTCGCAACGGGGCGCTGCCACCACGCGGACTTCGCGACTGGGGTCTTCAGTGGAGCCTTGTAGCCACGAAACACGGTGCGATGGCCGTGAAAGGGGGAAAGTGGCGATGATGCCATTTTCACTGGGGGCGGTTCTGGGGGCCCTGGCGCAGGGCCCCTGCCACTCCCGGGAAGCCGATGCCTAACCACGCGATGGGAGTGAGAGGAAAAAAAAACGGGAGAGGAGACCCGGAGGTGAGGAGGCGGATCCCGGGCCCCCCTCTGGACGCTGCGAGCGTCGGAAGCAGATGAACCCTTCGTGGACCCTTCCCTCGGCACAGGCGCCCTCCCTTTGCCCAATCCCTGGGGGGTGGGCCGGCCGCCCCAGGCAGGCAGCCAGGGAAAGCGGGGCGCCCCGAGACCCCTTAGAATGCGGGAGGAGGCTCCGCGCGGGCCCCCATGGCGAAGACGGGGGGGCCGACTGCCTGCCAGACCACCCCGACCCAACCCGAGGACCCGAAGTTCGGGCTGAGGGGGGGTACGGGCTTCATGTGTTTTTGTTCACTGTTCCCCGAGCACCCCACACTGCGTCCGCGCCTCTCGCGGGGCAGTGCGCGGCAGCGCGATCGCCCGGACGCATGCAAACGCGGACCCCGCTCGCCTGCCGCCCGGCGGGCCGTCGCCTTGTTAAGGGGGGCCGCCTCCAGCTGGCCCGTCGCGCCAGTGTCCGCAGGAGCCCGCAGAGCTCAACGAGCTCCCTGAGCCCTTGCCTCTGCTCCTGGAGGCTGCAACCGTCGCCAGGTTCGCGATGCGGCGATGCTGTCGGCGTCGCTCCCGGCGAAGCTGTCCACGAGGCCGTCGGCGCCTTGGTCCGGGAAGCTGTCGGCGAGGCCGTCGGCGAGGTCCTTCGCGAAGCTGCCGATGATGCCGTCGATGCAGCTGTCACCGGAGCTGCCGACGAGGCTGCTGGCGAGGCTGTTGTCAAGAAGCTGTCGACGCGGCTGCCGTTGACGCAGCCGTCGGCGCAGCTCTCCTGAAGCTCTGGCGGCGCTGTCTGTGAAGCCGTCGTCGAGACTCTTGGCGGAGCTGTTGGTGAAACCGTCGGCGGAGCTGTCTGCGAAGCCATTGGCGCAGCTGTCGGCGAAACCTCGGTGCACCTCTCGGAGAAGCTATCGGCGAAGCTATCGGCGAAGCTCTCGACCGCCGTGGTCTGTGAGGCCATCGGCGAAGCTCCTGGCGCCACCGTTGACGGCGCTGCCGCTCCTGTCCCTGGTGAAGCCTGGCTGTGGGAAGAGCCCCCGCACTGCGACGCGCCATGCGTGCGGGGGCGCCGATGGTGCCTGCTGCGTCCCTGAGCTGGAGGCCGAGCAAGCCACGTCTCTACTACATGTCGGCGGTGCCCGCAGCCATCTCGGTTTGTACCCCTCTCCCCGCCGCCACGCGAGGGGGCCCTGCGGGGCGCCATGCTCGCGGGGCGCCGTTGGGCTCGAGGGCGTACGGCCCAAGGGCCAGCGTCTATGCGCCCGGCCGTTGTTGGCAGCCTGACTGGGCCCACAAGGTCTCGTCTGGGTGCGCGTGCCCCCCGACGACGCTGGACCTCCCAGGAGCCCACGAAAGTGGCGACAGTTGCGCAGCTCGCAGCCACCCAGGGAGCAGCGAGGTCTCGTCTAGGTGCGCGTGGCCCCCGACTCCGCTGGACCTCTCAGGAGCCCACGAAAGTGGCGACAGATGCGCAGCTCGCAGCCACCCAGGGAGCAGCGAGGTCTCGCCTGAGTGCGCGTGCCCCCCGACTCCGCTTGACCTCCCAAGAGCCCACAATGGTGGCGACAGTTACGCAGATCGTAGCCACCCAGGGAGCAGCGAGGTCTCGTCTGGGTGCGCGTGGCCCCCGACTCCGCTGGACCTCCCAGGAGCCCACGATAGTGACGACAGTTGCAGTTCGTAGCCATCCAGGGAGCAGCGAGGTCTCGTCTTGGTGCGCGTGACCCCCGACTCCGCTGGACCTCCCAAGTGCCCACGAAAGTGGCGACAGTTGCGCAGCTCGCAGCCAACCAGGGAGCAGCGAGGTCACGTCTGGGTGCGCGTGCCCCCCGACTCTGCTGGACCTCCCAGGAGCTCAGGACTCGACAGTGGCGACAGTTTCGCAGTTTGCATTCACACAGGGAGCAGCGAGGTCTCTAATGGGTTCGCGTGGCCCCCGACTCCGCTGGAACTCACAGGAGCCCACGAAAGTGGCAACGGTTGCGCAGCCCAGTGCCACCCAGGGAGCAGCGCAAAAGGAGGCAAGAGGAGGGGGCAGGCGGGAGGAGAGAGGGGAGATGGAGATCATAGTGCTCTATTCAAAACGAGAACCCAACGCAGGAGGGTTGGGAAAAAAGTCTGGGCAACCAAAGTCGCAAACCGCATAACCTGGCCGCGAACGGAAAAATGATACCACCTCTGGCTGCTCCTCCTGGGGGCGCCCACATGCCACACCTGCTACATCGCGGTGAGCCCGAACGCGAGCGAGCCTGAGTGTGGAAGAGTCTCGATGTGAGTGAGGATGAATTCTGCTCTGTGTGGGAAGGAGTCTGCGAGTGAGTGAGTCTGAGGGTAAATGAGTCTGTCTGAGCGTGAGTGATCGAAAGTCTGAGTGACTGAGTATGACGTGGGGAGAAGATGAAGGGAGTGATGCGGAGGCGTCTCACGAATCACAAGAACCCCTTATGAGGATACGGGGAATAACTACTCTCTAGAAGCGAGCATTCGACGACGACGGCGACGACGACGGCGACGACGACGACGACGACGACGACGACGACGACGACGGCGGCGGCGGCGGTGGCGACAGTGGCGGCAGTGGCGGCGGCGGCGCTGCGCGCAGGCCCCCCGCGTCAAGGGCGTGCGGCGCGCGCCGGCTGGGGAGGCCGCTGCGGCACGGCGCGCGCGAGGTGAGCGGGGGCCCCGCTGAGCGGCCGCCGCGCGGGCGGGCGGGGCGCGTCGCCGGTGAAGGGGTAGTACGTGAAGTGCTCCGCCCCGGGCGTCTGCTGCGCGAGCAGCTGGCACTGCTTCTGGGCCCCCCCGCGGCGGCGGCAGCGCGAGCCGGCGGCCCCGCTGGCCTGCTGTGCTGCTGGTCTGCTCCGGGTCTGGGCGCGCGGTGGCTTCTGCTCCTGGCCTGCTGCGCGAGCGGCTGGCTGCCGCGATCGTCCCTCGGCCCGGCCCGAGGTTCGGAGCTCGTGGCTCGAGGCTCGAGGCTCGAGGCCGCCAGGACCTGTCTCCTCGGCCTCGGCCTCTCGGAGCCCGACCCGGAGGCCCGGGAGCGTCAGAGCTCGATCCCGGGCCACAGGAGTGAGGATACACGCAAGGAGCGACCCTGGGCAAGAGCAACCTTTGCTGCGCGGCTTCAGGGGGGGCGCGGGGGGGGGGGGGGCAAACAGGAGCAGCACGCAAGCCACTGCTGTCGCATCGCCTTCAGCGATCGAGGGGCCCCAGCGGGCCAGCACCAGAGGCCACTCTGGCGAAGGATCACTCTTGCGCGTGGTCGAAGAATGGCCAGGATGGACCCTGGGAGGACTCCGGGGACCGGCTTCAGGCTGGCACATCGAGGCTCGACGCGAAGCCCTTCTGCGTTCTCCGCCTTTTTCGGGCCTCCGGCCGGCTTCTCGTCGCCACGGCTGGAATCCCCTTCGCAATTATGGTCAAAGCCTCGCGCTCGCCCGCTGTCGTCGCCGCCGCCGTCGTTGCCAACGGAGTCGCCGCCTCCGTGCCCGTCGTCGTCCTCGTCGTTGTCGTCGTCGTCGTCCTTGTCTTCGTCCTCGTCCTCGTCGTCCTCCTCCTCCTCGTCGTCGTTGTCGTCGTCGACAAGACTCGCCTGTCGTCATCAACGTCGTCTGTCGTCCTGGCCGTCTGTCGTCGGTCGTCGCTGTAGCCTTGTCGTCATAGCGTCGTCGTCGTCGTGGTCGTCCATCGTCGTCGTGATCGTCGTCGGCGTCGTCGTTGTCGTCGCCACGAATGGGTTCTTCCCAACAATCTGGCCAGAACCCGCCCCAGGACAGGTAGGGGGTCGTGTCTTATGAGGGTTGCCCTCTGCAGCGTTCGAAACGGCGCTCCTCCTACACGCGCACGCGTGCACGCGCAAGTGCGCGGGCGCGTGCACGTACAACGTCTGCTTGTGGGCGTGCGCGTGCGCGGACACAGAGCTGTGATCTTCACGTGCGCGGCCGACAGCGCGCATACAACGTGTGTGCGTGTGTGTGTGTGTGTGTGCGAAGACGTGCATGAGGCCATGACTGTGCATGTTGGTATGTGTGCGGGTGGCTCCAAGCGCGTGGAGTCGTCGTACGCTGCTTATGATCCAGGCACGCACGTGTACATCCGAACCGCCTGATAGCATGAATGAGCATGCACACACGCGAAACCTGAATGCGTTCGAAAATGTGTTTACCTGCATCTGCGTACCCCTGTGCATCAGCGTACGTGCTGGCATCATTGCACGCTCTGCTTGAAGATACGCGAGTTGGCGAGAGCTCCGAGGGGAGACAGCGTGAGAGATATAGGCATCGAGCAGCAGATGGTGCGCAGAGAAAGCACGACAGAATGGGGCCGAATCCACCGACCCCCGCTCGCCGCAGGCGAGACAGCACGTGAGATGCTTGGCTTTCGTCCGCCTCCCCAAGGCTCGAAAGCGTTCAACAAGCGAAGCTACCCACGAGCTTAAGCAGAGTCCCGTGCGAGCCAGCCTTTCTGGTGACACGAAAGGTTTCGGCGCTTCAACGCAAGAGCGAAACCACGACCACCCACCGCCAACACCACCACCACCATCTTCTTCATCCTCATCCATCATCATCAGCAGCAGCACCCGCATCATCATCATCATCATCATCATCATCATCATCATCATCATCATCATCATCATCAGCATCAGCATCAGCATCAGCATCAGCATCAGCATCATCATCATCATAATCATCATCATCATCGTCATCATGATCGTCATCATCACCATCATCATCATCAGCATCAGCATCAGCATCATCATCATCATCATCATCATCATCATCATCATCATCATCATTATCAGCATCATCATCACCATGATCATCATCCTCATCATCATCATCTATCATCCTCATCATCGTCGTCGTCAGATTCCTCATCATCCTCATGCACATCATCATCCGCATCATCATCATCATCATCATCATCATCATCATCATCATCATCATCATCATCATCATCATCATCATCATCTTCACGATGTTCATCATCATCATCAGGAGCATCATCCTCGTCGCCAATATCACAATCAGAATCATCATCATCCTCATCACAGTCATAATCAGCATCATCAGCATCAGTATCGTCGTCGTCGCCATCATCCGCATCATCATCATCATCATCATCATCATCATCATCATCATCATCATCATGCTCATCATCAGCATCATCAGCAGGATGAATATCATCATCCAAATCGTCGTCATTATCAGCCTCATCATCATCATCACCATCGTCATCATCGTACCCTTCATCAGCATCGTTTGCAGCAGCAGCATAAATAGCATCATCAAGATCGTCATCATCAGCATCATCATCATCAGCATCATCAGCATCATCAGCATCAGCATCATCAGCATTGCAATCAACAGCAATATCATCGGCATCGTCAATGTCATTATCACCATCACCATCGTCATCATCACAGTCATAATCAGCATCATCATCAGCTTCAGCAGCAGCAGCATCATAATGAGCATCGTCATCATCATCATCATCATCATCATCAGCAGCAGCAGCAGCATCATAATGAGCAGCATAAGCATCGTCATCGTCGTCGTCGGCATCCGCATCATCATCATCAGCATCACCATCGTCATTATCACAATAAGAATCATCATTATCCTCATCCTCATAATCCTCATCATCAGCATCATCAGCAACATCATCCTCATCATCCTCGTCGTCAGCGACATCATCAATATCATCCTCCTCATCATCATACTCAGCATCAGCATCATCAACAGCAGCATGAATATCATCATCAAGATCGTCATCAACATCATCAGCAGCATCATCATTAACATTGTCATCATCATCATCATCATCATCATCATCATCATCATCATCATCATCATACTCGTCATCAGCATCATCAGCAGCAGCATGAATATCATCAGGATCGTCATCATCATTATCATCAGCATGATCAGCATCAGCAGGATTATCATTAGCATCATCAACATCATCATCGGCAACGTCAATGTCGTCACCTCCATCACTGTCATCATTACAGTCATAATCAGCATCATCACCAGCTTCAGCAGCAGCATCATAATGAGCATCTTCGTCATCATCAGCAGCAGCATCATGAGGAGCATCATCATCATCATCATCATCATCAGAAGCAGCAGCATCATCGACATCATCATCAATATCATCATCATCATGATCGTCATTATCGTCATCATCATCATCAGCCTCAGCATCATAATCATCAGCATCACCAGCATCGGCAACATAATCATCATCATAATCAGCAGCCTCAGCATCATATCATCATATGCTTCTCCATCCTCATCATCATAGCATCATCAACATCATCAGCATCACCATCGTCATCATCATCACCATCATCATCAGCATCATCATTACTACTGTCCCAAGCCTGGGGACACGAGGTGTCACAAGTGACAGCCTCCGATGCCCCCTCGAACAGTCGCTACCCAGAATGCTGAGCTGGCACGGTGGAGGAACTTGCCGCAGGGCCGCAGGCAGCTGAATATCCTCTTCCTCCTTCGCTTCTACATCATCCTCCTGCTTCCTGGAGCCCTCAAGCAGGACAGGAGATTCCACAACCTAACAAAAAAGGCCCCGAACTGCCTACTCTCCCCCTCCCCATGGTCTCTCTGCCCATCGTGGGCACCACATCGCTCTTCGTCCTCCTCCTGTGCCCAGCTATACTCGGGCAACCGAGCAGCCCAAATGACACTCGCCCCGTCTACATTTCTGGGGTCTCCACGTCCAGAGGTGACGTGCTGAGCGGCAGCGTTTTCTGGCGAACGCCTCAACGCAATGTGTCAAATGTATCCTGTATTATCAGAGTGAAGGGGCCGAACGGTCATTCACTGTCCTTTGGCGCGTGGCGAAAGCAAAAATTCCGCGTTGCGGATTGTTGTTGTTGCTGTTGTTTGCTGATTGTTGTTTGCTGTCGTCGTCCCCCCCGCGACCCTGCCCGCGACCCACCCGCGACCCACCCGCAACCCACCCGTGACCTGGCCAGCGACCCACCCGCGACCCGACCGGCGACCCACCCGCGACCCATCCCGCGACCCACCCACATTGCTTTAACGAAAAAGTCGGCGCCTGCGGCGAGCTCGTTAGATAAGTTGATACAATGAGGCGTCTACGGCGGGCTTCTTTAGAGCCTCGCAGACTGCCGACGTCCCCGCCAACCCCCTCACTCTTATCCGCGACTGCGGGGTGCTACGTATAGTTGCTACATATTGTATAAGATTAAAGTATTATGTCTCCCCACCTAACCTAACCCCCCCTGGAGTCGCGCCACATCGGCGGACACAAAGTGGCCCCTCCCCTTCGGGGATCCACAAACGTACCAAAACGTATGAAAATCTATGATATCGGCCTCCAGGGCCTCATAAGGGGTCCAAGAAGGCCTCAAGACGGCTCAATGAAGCTTCCCGAAGGCCCAAGACGGCCCCAAGACGGCCCCAAGAGGGCCCAAGAGGCTCCCAAGACGGCCCCAAGACGGCCACAAGGAGGCCCCCAAGTTCCGATGGGTTTTGCAATATCTTCGCGTCCTCGCCTTTTTCGATTCTCAGGGGGCCATGACCGCCCAAGCAGCCTCCAAGATGGCCCCGAGATGGCCCCAAAGGCCCCCAAGGGCCACAAAACGGCCCAAGAGGGCCCCAAGATGGCCCACAGAGGCCCCCAGAAGGCTCAAGAGGCCCCCAAGACGGCCCGAGAGGACGCCAAGAAAGCCACAAGGCGGTCCCCAGAGGCCCCCAAAACGGCCTCCGAACGGGCCAGACAGCGGAAGAGCGCCCCAAGACGGCCCAGGAAGCCCCCAAGAAGCCCCAGAAGGACCCCAAGAAGCCTCCAAGATGCCCAAAAGAAGCCCCCAGACGGCTCAGAGAAACAACCAACATGCCGCGGAATTGCGTACGAATGGCGCGTTGTTGTTATGCTCATCGGAATTTGAACGTGGCGTTGCCTTGTGCTGACACACGGTGCAGGCTCATTACCCTCGTGCACATTCGCACGCTCGTCCCGGCACTGAAACCCGGGGGGGGGCGCATCCGCCACCCGTGGCGCTGGCAGCGCCCTGGGGCGGGCAGAACGGCACGGCTGAACTTCTCGACAGACGAGCAGGGCAAACCACCCAACGCCCAGTCTTACCAGTGCTTCGGACGTGCAACCCGCGAAGCGAGAGAAATCAATAACAAACACCCCTGCGCCAAGCTCTCTGTCGATGACGTCGACCTGGTGCTATTCATGCCCGTCATCTGGTC